TTTTGCGTTGAATAAACATTGTCAGAGCTCAGAGGGAGAGCAGTTTTCTCACTTGAACATCTTGGCATGAAACCCCTGTTCAAAAGAGGTTTCATTTCATTTATTTATTTTAACTTGCGATCATTAATTAGGCTTTATAATCCTGCTCCAATTCTCCAACGACCTCCTCTGTGACATAGTTGGTAATGGAAAATTCCACTCAGATCTTTGTTTATAGGCTACACAGCGCTCTGTAATGATACATTTCACTAGTACAAATCATCCAGTTATTTAATTCATGTTTGCACTGGCAGTGTTTTAGGACTAGTTTACATAGGTTTATACTCTGCGGCAGAAGTGGCAAATGTGTAGCCCTCCAGATGTTGTGAAATATTACTTCCACCACCCTTTCCCATTGGCCATGCTAGCCAGGGACTGATGGGAGTTGGGGTCCAATAACATTCAGAGGCACCAGGTTAGCTGCCCTTGCCCTATGGGATGGAACAAAGTCTTCAGTTCTTGACACCACCCACCTGTGCACATTGAATGTTTTCTATGAACTCAGTTTAGCCTAACATAACATATAAGAACAAAACCATCTGACCATGAAATCTGGAACAAAAGGGGCAAACAGATCAAATGGGCAGGTTCAAGTGATGGACAACCATACACAGTTGCATTGTGGGGGGAAAGAGCCCCATCCTCTTTATCATCTGGTCATCCCAACTTTTTATTCTAGATCCATCAGTGGACTTAAATAACTCTGATTAACCTAAGTCCATTGAATTAAATGGGTGCGTTCTGAGAATTACTTAGATACAACCGTGTGTGTGTGTGTATACAGATTTGAAAACAAAATTATTCCAATTCAAATGCACTAAAGAATCTATTTTTTCCAACATATTGACTATACAAGTAACATCTGTAGAAGAATGTGCTCAATAAAGCGTTTCCAATTTGGTTGAATTGATTACATTATTGGCTTCCCTCTTTGATGCTAATATGATTTGTCAACATGAACACAATGGTGTCTTCATCGATTTTGATTTCCCACCCCAAAATGGTAGGAGCTGACAGGACTTTTCAATATTTAGTGCAATGATTTCTTGTGGCTGCGATCATATAAGAAATCATTTTGTGGTGCTGAACTAATATATCTTAAGTGTAATTTGACAGAAAAAAATATTGGGTCAAAAATTAATTTTATGAAAGTTAATTCTTTTGTAGACACTTTGATTTTCCAGCATTCCAGCTTGCTGGACAGAATGATCCACTCACTCTCCTCCTCCTGTGCTACTCTGGAGGTTATCCTGATCCCCATGAGCCAATTTGGGAAGGGGGCACAGTGGAAGGAGGAGAGTAACTCTGCTTCACAAGCAGAATCCTTGCACAGGCCATCCGCTGATTAGGTGAATCCTGCCCAATGATTTCTCAAACTCCAGAGTTTCCCTTCCCTTCACCTGTTCATTCTGAATTTGCAGATCGTTGCATCCATAATGCACTTCTTCTAAAGGAAAACAATGAAAAAAACCGCATTTATTTAGCACTTTGAAGCCTTCAAAGCACTTCACACCCATTTTGTCAATCATCATTCTAACAATGCAGCAAAATAAGACAGAGTAGCAATGAACTGGCTCAATTTCACCCACCCTACCTGCACACCAGGGATATAAAACTCAGATGTGACCCATAATTGAGAAGAATTATTATTTTCATGTGCTAAGTTCAGGGAACAATCAGACTGAGATGCGGCACTGAACATCTTGCAAAGGTAATCTATTCTTGTGACATTTCCCATCACAGTATTTTGCAGGCTCAGTAGGCGGGGACAGTTCAAATAAGGTTTGCACAGCAAATTGATGCTCTGATGCTCACCTGAACTGAACTGAACTTCCGAAGCTTTTGAAGTTCATCCATCAGCATATTTTTGCATCCATGCACAAGGTCACTCTCATCAAGGGCAGAAGTAGTTGTTAGTGGAAGAAGGAGTTGTCTCTCTTGAACACGCACCCTATGTTTAAATGTTGTCATGTGATCTGAAGTGAAGCAAGGGAGAAAAAGCGCTGTCCATTTCTTTTTCCTGCAGCAATTCATTTTCTTTAAAAAATTATTATTATTTTCTTGTAGGCTCCTGGAGAGACTGTAAGGGAAGCAAGTATATGACTGCTCTGCTGGGATTCTTGCAAAATGTTTCACTGCAAGTGAAAGAAAAACAGAGCAGGAAAAAATGAATAAAAGTCAGAAAATGCTTGGTTGGTAGAGCTTCACAAGTTTTGCCATAGTTTCTGACTACAATCCTACACACGTCTTCTCAGAAGTAAATACTACTGACTTCAAGGAGACTGGTTCCAAGGTAGGTGTTTGCAGGATTGTACCCTAAAAACATGTTGGATGTCAGACCATGCATATTATTTCACAGGCAACGTTAAAACAATTGCAAATCAAACTTCTTATATAACTACTGGTTCTCTGCAGAAAAAAATAAGCAGGTAAAAGTCTGATAATTCCATTGGGTTAAACAGCTAATTATGTCAATGAAGCAATACCCTTAAAAAAAAGAAAACTCAACAAATTTTTCATCAGTGTGCAACATACTACTAACTCGCTTTTAGGAGTTTAGTCCTAAATGGATATTTTCATAAAATAAGGTACAAAATGTGTTCTATGATGAAAATTTGTTTTGCAAAAATGTGTATATTAGGCAAAACTACAGGCAGACTTGTTTACTGGGATAAATACAGATTTAAATGCTAATAAAATTCTCATGAAAGCTTTACAAATGTTTTTTTTTTAACAGACATATAGTAGAGAAACAGCTAAAAATAGTTTTCGAAATAAAACAAAAAGTAACTGAAGATAGATTTACAGAAAGCAAAATAAACATCTAAGGCAGAGGGACATTTCTCCTACTGGAAAACAAAATGTTTCCAACTGTTTCCCAAAAAACAGTTGCACTTGCATCTTGAGCCTAGACACGGACATTGTCCAACAAATGCTGTTAAAGACATATTTATTATGCTCATTTTTTTTTGTTTTTAGGTTGCAGGATTCTTTTTGGATCTTAAGCTTTCCCTCACCTCTGTGGCAAGATAAAGAACTTCAATGGGAGCTTCCTGTACTGTGCAGGCAGAATGCAGGTGACTGGCTGAATAAGCACACAAGTAGAGACATTGGGCAGGGATGCGGGTGGCGCTGTGGGTTAAACCACAGAGCCTAGGACTTGCCAATCAGAAGGTTGGCAGTTCGAATCCCTGCGACGGGGTGAGCTCCTGTTGCTTGGTCCCTGCTCCTGCCACCTAGCAGTTCAAAAGCATGTCAAAGTGCAAGTAGATAAATAGGTACCGCTCTGGCGGGAAGGTAAACGGCGTTTCCGTGCGCTGCTCTGGTTTGCCAGAAGCGGCTTAGTCATGCTGGCCACATGACCCAGAAGCTGTACGCTGGCTCCCTCGGCCAATAAAGCGAGATGAGCGCCGCAACCCCAGAGTCGGCCACGACTGGACCTAATGGTCAGGGGTCCCTTTACCTTTACTAGGAAGTTCCAGAGCACTGGAGCTGCCACCCCAAAAGATCAGTCTGCTTGTGAATGTTGTTTGGCACTTGTAATATTGCAAGTTCCACAGACTAAAAGAGGTTGAGCACGTACACAAGCCAACCTTTCAGGTAAACTGATCCCAAGCTGCTAAGGGCTTATTGCTGCTCTGATAAAATGATTTTGTGTTAGGTCCCCGGTCCCCCCCAGAACATCTCAAAAAAGAAAAATTAAGTGAGATCCTCTTTCTGCCCTTAAGGGAGATGGTCCAATTCACGCATAGCGTGATGGAATGGATGTTACAAGATGAGAACAATGTCATAGCAATACATTGCAAAGGAGGCAAGGGTAAGTAAGTCCTTTTTAGTGGAAATATTGACATGGAGCTGAAGGAGGTTGAAGTTTTTTTATTTTTTTAAAGGTGTTTTGTTTTCTGTTTTCTAGTTTACAAAAGCTTCCGGTTGTTCCCAGTATTAAATGATCACCATTATTTTTCTGAAATAGGGAGTTGAGGCAGAATGACCTTATTGCCAGGTCAGACTTGTTGGTTCAACTAGTTCAGTATATGACTGAAGTGAATCTCCAGGGTTTCAGGCAGTTCCCAGCCTGTTTGGAGATGACTGTGCTCTTCCACTGAGCTGCTGTCCAAATAATTACCTGGTCCATCACAGCTCTTGGTCCCTCTTCAAAATTTTGAATTGAGGAACTCAGATTTGGTTATATTTTGCTATTTAAAAAGCTGCTATTTTTAAAGGAAGGTGGGTTGGAAGACTTCAAAAGTTGGAACGCTTGAATAAAAACTGCAACTTAATTAAGTTAAGCATGTACAGTGGTACCTCGGGTTACATACGCTTCAGGTTACAGACTCCGCTAACCCAGAAATAGTGCTTCAGGTTAAGAACTTTGCTTCAGGATGAGAACAGAAATCGTGCTCCGGCGGTGCGGCAGCAGCAGGAGGCCCCATTAGCTAAAGTGGTGCTTCAGGTTAAGAACAGTTTCAGGTTAAGTACGGACCTCTGGAACGAATTAAGTACTTAACCTGAGGTACCACTGTAACTTAATCCATTGGTACAGGCCCTACCCTCTAGAGTTGAAGAAAACAAACTTATTCCATCTTCCACCCAACAGCCCTTTAGATGTTTGAAGAAGGCTATCATATCTCCTCTCAGTCTCCTCTTTGCCAGGCTAAACATCCCCAGCTCCCTCAACCGTTCTTCGTAATTCACATGAATAGAATTATAGAAGTTGGAAGGGACCGGCAAGGATAATTTAGTCCAGGCCCTCTGCAACACAGGAATCCTTTTGCCCAATGTGGCGTTCAATCTTGGGGTCATGAGTTCAAGAGTCTCACGCTCTACTGACTGAGCTATCTTTTAATGTAGCATAATCTGAATGCGCTAGTGGTTCCCTTCTTGAGTACAACTAGAAACCCAACCCTGATGACTTTCCTCTGAAGTCTTGATTCCCCGCCCCTTTTTTTTAAAATGGCAGGGTAGAACTGGCACCATGATTTGCATCTGGCTTATTGAGAACAGCCTGTTTGAAAGTGCAAAGGTACGTAAAGCGATGGCATACATTAAATCTTCCCTTTGAACTTGTGTGCTTTAATTCTACCAAAGAGTGGCTTTTTCTGTGTGCAGAGAATGCTGAAGAATGCCTCCCACCTGGGTGGCGATTCATTTAAGTGCCATGACAACCTGAAGTTTATATACATGGTTCAGCTCAGTTGCAGGAGGCGTGCGCCTTCTTTATAGCACCATCCCCCTATTGCCAGAAATGCCCAATGCACAGAGTGAAGGCTCATCCCTCAATGCAATTTGGCTGAACCGCATAGTGAGCAGTATGCAAACACTGCTACCACCATGTGGAACTTTTTCTGTCACTTCCAAGGGAAATGTTTGATCAAGTCCAGAGCTGGGGTGCCCTAGGACCAGGTTCTGAATACAGCCTTCAGGCGTTTTCTTGCTGCCTGGATTTTTGAGAGTAGCGTATGTAGAAATTAGCCTGCTGTACAAAGGTAAAATTTGCATCGATTCCTTCACCTACTTTTGCCTCTTGCCATGTGACTTCCTGGAAGATTTGCTCAGAAAGGAATGCAGCTCTCAGACAGGAAAAATGATGAAATTTGACTGGTAAACGTGTTACTTAACCCCAGGGTTGTTGCTGGGGAAAAATCCAGCATTGTCTTTTAGGAGAAGAGAAAAAGCAGGAGGTGATTTTGCCATCCCCCCCCCTGGATGTTTGTGGGATTGTTGAACAGCAAAGAAGATGGCAGGAATGGGGCTTCATAGGGAACAAGCAATTGACACAAAAGAATCTTCCCCATGACTCCAGCATGTATTGAAGATCCTTCTGTAAACAGAACAATACCATCAGAGAAAACCAATGGTTCTGGAGAAGAATTTCAATCTGTTGGGGGTGGGGATTGGGTGTCACTTCTTTTGACAAGGCAGGTTTTCTATGGCTTGAATACTATGGCTGTGCATACATTACAGTTTACTCTGGTTCCAGTGAATTCCCACTCCTATTTTTTAAAAATCATGTAAACACTATACAGGCATCCCATGGTTTCTTTTGAAGTATCGCATTTTGATGTGATTTTCCCCAAGCCAGCTTTGCTCCAGTTTGGGAGCTGTAAAGGTAAAGGGACCCCTGACCATTAGGTCCAGTCGTGGCTGACTCTGGGTTGCGGCGCTCATCTCGCTTTATTGGCCGAGGAGCCAGCATACAGCTTCCGGGTCATGTGGCCAGCATGACTAAGCCACTTCTGGCGAACCAGAAGTGTTATCTTCTTGCAAGTTTATCTACTTGCACTTTGATGTGCTTTCAAACTGCTAGGTTGCAGGGACCGAGCAACGGCGAGCTCACCCCGTGGTGGGGATTCAAACCGTGGCGGGGATTCAAACCGCCAAACCTTCTGATCGGCAAGCCCTAGGCTCTGTGGTTTAACCCACAGCGCCACCCGCTGTAGGCTTGCTCAATGCACGGCGAATCCCAGGTGTGTACAACTGAAATGAAGAGGATTTCCGCAGGAAGAGACAAGACAGGGAAAACCAGCCCGGTAATACTGGTCGTTGAACAGCATAGAAGATGGTGGGAGAGGAGCTTCATTAGGAACAAGCAATTGACACAAAAGAATCTCCCCCATGACTCTACTGTATCGAAGATCTTTCTGTAAACAGAACAGTACCATCAGAGAAAACCAATGGTTCTGGAGAGGAATGCCGTGTAAAAAGCCACTAATGTGTACATAGCCAATCAGTACGCAGGAGCAAACTTCACGTTCACCAGACGTGGGACTTTCCCAGCTCTTTTTAACTCTGCAGCTTCTTGTCTCCCTTGAAAACCTGCTTTTGGAGGAACCATGGGAATGGTGTAGGGATAAGGCGGAAGGGAGCAGATGAAAGAGGAAGTTGGCGGAATCCACCCCGCTCTAACGTGAACAGAGGGACAACTTGGCCTCCAAACCTGTGTCTCTAAAATAACACTTTATAGTTCCTTGGTTTAAAACTAAACACCACAAGATATGGCGACACCTGTTACCATCTTCCTTTTTTTTAGGAAAGTTTACAGTACTTCGGTAAAAGAAGAACCGATGAAAGCACAAGCTCCAAGTTTCAGGGTGTTGAAACTCCATCACAGGTAAGAGTCTACAATGACGTCTCGGTTAAAGACACTGGAGCCAGTATCGTAGCAAGGGATTAACACAACTTGCAGAATGTCACAATTTAGCTCTATAACTGACCATTTTTCCTGCACCACCCTTCTCATACCCCTGCATTTCTGGATGGCACCTAGAGTGCCTTCAGTCCAGCGAACAACCAATGGAGTTATAACAGGGGTCAGCAAACTTACCGCGCCTCGGGCCGGTGTCTCCAGTGGCGATCACGTGGTGGGCCATGTGTGCACACACGCTATTTCCAGTGCACTTCCGGGTAGGAGGAGCACCAGAAATAGCTTGTGCACATGTGCACGGGCCTCCTCTGACCCGGGTGTGCACCGGAAATAACGCGCATGCGCAAGTAACGCACGCGCACAAGCTATTTCCGGTGCTCCGACCCAGAAGTGGGCAGTCGCGCAGCGCCGGTAAGAGCGGGCAGCAGTGGGGGTCACTGTGGGCCGGATAAACGAGTCCCTCGGGCCTTATCTGGCCCACGGCCCTTAGTTTGGGGACCCCTGTGTTATAACATATGATGAGTCCACGATTTGGGAGCGTTTGGGTAAGGCAAGGCTTGCTGTGATGAGGTTTGAAGGTCACTTTCTCTTGCAGCCAAAAGGTTGCTCTTTCTTCAGGGTTGAGTTGGGAGATTTGCTTTTAGCTTTCAAAATGCTGTAGCTTGTTTGTAACTTATTTCTCAAGGCGCGCTCAAATTTTCTTTGCAGAATAGGTACGTTGAGTATTACGCAACCTTGAAATGGAAGTACAACCTGCAGCTCCCAAAAGCGAAGCCACTTGAAATAAAAAGCATAAAGCTCTATGCTATCCATGGTAAGCGCTGCTAAAATGCTGTAGGATTTCTAGTGGCATTTAATGTCCTCCTTTCCTCTCTTGTGATGCAAGTTTACTTTGTAAAGAGTTTGCGGTAGACAATTCAGCATCAGTCCTTGAAATTCAGCCTAATCATTGTCCTGCTATCACGATTTAACCTTTTTTTTAAAAAAACATTTTTTTTAGGAGTTGGGAAAGGCAATGGGAGTGATTTGAGGGTGAAGATAATAATGGAAAAGCAAGTAGTATTTCATTGTGTTTGTGCAACCCAAGAAAACTGCCAGGTAAGGGACTCCCAGGTTAGTTTTAAAAGCCTGTCATGAGTGGCTGGTGTAAGAAATTGTTACCTGTCCAGAGTTTTTGCAACTGGTGGTATATTTAAGGTTCTTTCTGTGCGATGGATCACTTAATCCCTATAATTAATGTGAATTTGCTAGATGTGCTTTGGGGGCATGCTTTTGATGCAAGGAGAGCTAATGTTTTGAGCATTCTTTTTTTTCTTTTCTTTTCTTTTATTTATTTATTTATTTATTTATTTATTTATTTATTTATTTATTTTTTAATTGAATTCTTGAAGATTACATACAAACATTGCATACAAACATTTACAAAATAATAATAAAAAGACAAGAAAGAAAAGAAAAAGTAGAAAGAAAAGTCAGGTTATGTTTTGAGCATTCTAAAAGTGAAGCATTCTAGAATTCTGGAAAACGCAGTGCTTCTCACAAATGGCCTTTGCATTCCTGCTGTTCTTATAATTGTGTGGAGTCATAATCATAATTTATAATTTCTACCCCGCCCATCTGGCTGGGTTTTCCCAGCCACTCTGGGTGGCTTTCAACAGAACATTACAAACAGAATAAAACTTCAAACTTTAAAATCTTCCCTAAACAGGTCTGCCTTCAGATGTCTTCTAAACGTCAGATAATTGTTTATTTCCTTGACATCTGATGGGAGGGCTTTCCACAGGGTGGGCGCCACTACCAAGAAGGCCCTGTAACTTGGCTTCTCGCAGGGAGTGAACCGCCAGAAAGCCCTCAGAGCTGGACCTCAGTGTCCAGGGTGAACAATGGGGGTGGAGAAGCTCCTTCAGGTATACTGGGCTGAGGCCGTTTAGGGCTTTAAAGGTCAGCACCAACACTTTGAATTGTGCTTGGAAACATACTGGGAGCCAATGTAGGTCTTTCAGGACCGGTGTTATATGGTCTCGGTGGCCACTCCCAGTCACCAGTCTAGCTGCCACATTCTGAATAAATTGCATGGATGTCACAGGTGCTCTTGGGATGAGATTATTGGCAAGCAGCCCAGCTACTCTGTCATTCCTGCATCATTTAACACATTTTGCACATTTTCTAGAAGCTAAGCACTTCTTCTGAATTGGAGTTAGGACTGGCAGCCTTTTAAACAAAACGGGCGGGGGGAATGACCACATATTGGTTCCACCGCCCCCAGTTAATATATATTACATAAATACAGCATATTTGTTAGATTGGGACATACAGGAATAACACACACAGGATGAAATGCGGTAGGCAGGAATTTCCCCCCCTAAAATACCTTACATTTTAAAAGAAAAGCATGGATGGAAGAAAAGGTGTCCATCTTCTAGCTAAACAGAATTTGGCAGTATATGGTGCTCTAAAATCTTCCCTCAACAGCAATGCCTCTGTGAACCTTACTTTCCAGCTGTGTTCTCCTAAGTAGTAATAGATTAACAGGAGGGAGTGTTGCTAGGCGATTTGAGGAGTAGCCAAGAATTTTATGTTTTAATGGGGCCAAAGGAAAGTTACCAGACCAAATTAGTTTTCAGAGGGCAAATTAAGTTGGGTCATTGGGGAGGGGGCTGCTGGACCTTACTTGCCAAGCTGTCCCAGTGGGAGGCTATAGTTGATTCAGTAGATAAAAGTTCATGCATTTTGTAACAAGAATATTTCATCGTGAATGAGATGTCCCATCTACTTTCAGTTGTTCTTCGATGGCGAAAACGACTGGGTAGTAATTGCTTTTGAATGCTGTCCCGTAGTTAGCAAAGATGTGAAAGTCAGATTCGAATCTTCTTCATCTGTAAGTAAATGAACTGTGGATCTTTTGTATTTCTCTCACACGGCAGTTGTGTCCTCTGTAGCCATTGCTGACCCATCTCAAACACAAGGTTCGCTTCGTTAAACACACCTGCTGGCCTTTATTTATTTCAGATATTTAAATCCTGCTTAACATTCAGAATTAAAAAAGTGGATAGGGAATTGTTGGTTTTTATAACCTGCCTTTAATAATAATAATAATAATAATAATAATAATTAATAATAATTTTATTATTTGTACCCCGCCCATCTGGCTGGGTTTCCCCAGCCACTCTGGGCGGCTTCCAACAAAGATGAAAGATACACTAAAATGTCACATATTAAAAACTTCCCTGAACAGGGCTGCCTTCAGATGTCTTCTGAATGTCAGGTAGATGTTTATCGCTTTGACATCTGATGGGAGGGCGTTCCACAGGGCGGGCGCCACTACCGAGAAGGCCCTCTGCCTTGTTCCCTGTAACTTGGCCTCTCGCAGTGAGGGAACCGCCTTTTGACCCCGTGGAATCAAAATCCTGAAAACTATGATGAATCTAAAGACGCAGGAACACATGGAGAAATGGAATGTGACTTGTGATATTTCAGAAAGTAAAGGAGATGTTATTGAAGGGAAGATTTGATTTATTCCCAGTTTATTGTGGAAACAAAACAACTAATACAGTGGTACCTTGGGTTAAGTACTTAATTTGTTCCAGAGGTCCGTTCTTAATCTGAAACTGTTCTTAACCTGAAGCACCACTTTAGCTAATGGGGCCTCCTGCTGCTGCCGCCGTGCGATTTCTGTTCTCATCCTGAAGCAAAGTTCTTAACCCAAGGTACTATTTCTGGGTTAGCGGAGTCTGTAACCTGAAGCGTATGTAACCCGAGGTACCACTGTATTGGAAACTAGCTTGACACAGAAAAGGCCCAGTCATAGGTATCAGAGGATGAGTTATTTGGCAGATGCAATGACAAGCACCAAATATAATAAACCACATTAAATCTTAAATTAAACAGCCGGTGTAGTGGCTCAGAATGAAGTCTGTCTCCCTTGTTTGAATATTGTACGTAGCATGAACTCACAATGAAGACTTAGGTGACATGCTCTAGGCTGTACTCTGCGCTTAGAGAGAACTGCCTTCTGGGACGTGTTGTGATTGTGACAGGGGGGTAATTCACGTGACACATTTTGAACATAGGAAAGCACTATACAAAGCTTAGTAGGTATTAAACAGTCCGTCTTTTTGCCTTTTAAAATACAGGCTATACCAAAAGGCTACGATGACTGCGCTTTCTTCTTTTGGTTCCACACAGCCTTTGTAGAGGACAACAGGTAAGCTGTAATGACTGACATCAGAGGCCTGTGACAAAAAGCCCTCAAACTTTGGCTGGCTTGGGAACCAGAGTGTGATAAACTTTTATCTGTGTGAAGAAATGGGCTCAATACAAGTCTCCACTAGCAACAGAAAGGCTTGCTTTCTTCCATGGGGCTGCGTTATATTTTTAAAAGGTAAACAACCAACCCTTTCCCCTCACATGATCCCACAGAAGAAAGTAGAGCTGTCATTTGCTACAGGGGACTTGCCTTGAGCCTAACTCTTCAGAAAGATACAAGCTAAAAAATACTGTCTCTGCTTTGTTGGGAAAGGGGTCATGAGTTCAAGTCTCTGCAGGTTTTTCTTACATGGAAATGCACTGTTGGGCAAGTCTCCAATAAAGGAAGTTGTTGAGTGAAGAACTGAGAAATCAATTTCCTTTCAGGGATGGAGGCCTCATCGCTCACTGCTGAAGCATTGCTGCTGATAAACACGATGTAGGAGAAATTAAAGATCAAGCAGGCATGTTGCTACTTTTAAGTAGCAGGAATACAAACACTTGCTCATCTGTCTCCAGGTGCTTGTAATCAGACTCGCCCTGTATTGGAAAGGAATCATTATCTACCCCATTTCCAATTGCAGGCCAGCATGTTATGTAATAGGGACGCGGGTGGTGCTGTGGGTTAAACCACAGAGCCTAGGACTTGCTGATCAGAAGGTTGGCAGTTTGAATCCCCGCGACGGGGTGAGCTCCCGTTGCTCGGTCCCTGCTCTTGCCAACCTAGCAGTTCGAAAGCATGTCAAAGGGCAAGTAGATAAATGGGTACCGCTCTGGCAGGAAGGTAAACAGTGTTTCCGTGCACTGCTCTGGTTTGCCAGAAGCGGCTTAGTTATGCTGGCCACATGACCCGGAAGCTGTACGCCGGCTCCCTCGGCCAATAAAGCGAGATGAGCGCCGCAACCCCAGAGTCGTCCGACTGGACCTAATGGTCAGGGGTCCCTTTACCTTTATGTTATGTAATATATGAAGGGACAGAGGGAGTCTACTGAGTCAGAATGCTAGCAGAATTTCACTAGCTTGACAACAAATTAAAAGCCACAATTAACTCATAAAGCAGAATGAGCTGTACATTCTCTTTTTGGGGGTGCAACAAGGGACATCAGAAACAGCAGAAATGGCCACAACTTGCACATTCATCCGAGGTCAGGAACAGAAACCATGCAAGCGAATATAAGTGCTATTTGCTATTGTTCTTAGTCCACAAATGTTATTTTCTGCACGGTTTCTGGTGTGTCCCTTTCATTGATATTGATCACATAATTCATTACATTGGTTTTGGCCACAGTGGAGAGAGTGAGGTGAGCTATAAAGGTGAACTATAGCATAACGGAATGGAATGGAAACAATTGATGGTGAGAAATGGAGGACAGAACAGAAATGGCTGCCTCATAGCTGCAACTACTACTGTAGCTCATCAACGCTAGGAGAATGACTGAGCACAAGCTTGAGGAT